TAAATCTTTAAAAAAAAAAAGCCATTAAATCATTAATCTGAGTAGCTGCCAGGCAGACACGCTCCGGCAGCACCGGCCAGCGCACAGGGAAAGCGCGCCCCTCAAGCTGGCCTGCCCGAGGGGTCTCGGCCCATGCAGCATGTCACGCAAACCTCCCCTTCCCCCAAGACGGCGCTGCTGGAAACTGACCGTACACAGACAGTGAACGGGAGCCCAGGGTTGCGTAGCAGCGACACATCAGAAACCACCCACATCTGCCGGTGGCATAAGCTGCGGGCACGCAGTCACCAGGCTGCAGCAGCTGAGAGCACCGACACCCAGGCCTGGCTTGCGCTCTGCTGAGGAAAGGTGCTACTGTTCCACCTGCATCCTTGTTGTTAAAGCAAAAAACATCCATATGAAAAGCTATGGGGATCTGTAACAGACTATTGTAGGTGATCACTCTGAAGAGAGAAACTCAAGGAATTTTTAGTTTCTACATAACGAATTTCTGAGTTCACATTTTATATGACTCTGAAGAATACCTACAAATAGGCAGAAAAAATAAGAGCAAAATGGTTATGTTAAAGTTTTGTTAAAGAGAAAATTCTTAAAAAAAAAAAAAGTATTTATGTGTATAAGAACGAGGGTGCAGGCCAGAGGGGCAGGGGTGAGAGGTCTCCCCAGAGACAGGGTGGGGAGCAGAACAGGCAGATCGAGTGAAACCCACTGCTGAGGGGAACAGTGGGGAGACAGGAGAGGTCTGCTTCACCCTGTGGGTCACTCCCTGGCTGGGGATCTGACTCATGCCGTAGTGGCTGACGAGAGCTTGATAGTGCTATATGCCTTTAACCCTGGCGCCAAAAGGTAAGTCCAAAGAGAAAATTCCTTTTTTTTTTAAAGGTTTATATGTATTGATGCACACAGAACTGAGGTACAGGCCAGAGGTGCAGGGGCAGTGAGAGGCTTCACCAGAGACAGAGTGGGGAGCAGAACAGGCCGACTGACGGAGCACACTGCTGAGGGGAGCAGAGGGCAGGTCAGGATGGTTCTGCCACACCATGTGGATCACCTCTGGGGCAGGATCGAACTCATGCCGAAGTGCCTTTAGCCTCTTAGTGCTGTGCTTTAACCCGCTGTGCCACCAGGGAGGGCCTGAGAAAATTCCTAAAATAAGCTACTATGCCAGCAGACTGCAGCTTTCTGGAGAGAATCTACTAACCATAAACAGGCCAGACACCAGCCTATTAAGCAAAGAAACAGCTCAAGTAACTACCTATGACTGGTGGGAACTGACCCCAGGTTTTGTTCATTATTTCAGAAACTTCTATCAAGCACAGCAAAGGAAGCTGTACCCAATGCTTCTTTGGTTCACTGACTCCAAAGTGGTGCAAGCATTTCAACAAGGAGTCTTACCCCGGAGCATGTCACTACGACCGAAAGGCGATTTTTAGCTAAAATGCCAGGTCTTCAGGTGTCAGCATACAAGGAGAGCGAGTCTGCTGGGCCCACTGCAGCTTAAGAGGCTTCCTGCAGACTGGCCCAGGCCTGCTCCAGCAGCCCAGACTGGCAGGAGGGGCCACAGGCAATCTGTGACCCGCCTCGGCACAGGCATCAGGAGGCTCCCGCACAGGGAAAGCATTTTGCAAAGGCAAGTTTCATAGATTTGCTGGAGTGTGGTTTTAAAGAGCTTCACTGTAAAGCACCATTATGCTCATTAACAAATATTCTCTAAATATTTAATCGGTGCCAAACACGGTGGCCAACAACTATCCCACAGACTTAGCAGGCAATTCCAGGATAGACTAAAGCGTGCTCTTGGAGGGAGGGTCAGGATTTTGGCCCGGGTTCCAAACGGCCTCCCAGATGAAGTGACCCCAGTCCAGGGCAGATGCATTTCTGGCATCGGGCGCAGAGGCACACAGCCCTCACAGGAAGGGCAATGCCTGAGCAGCAGCGCACACAGAGCGAGCCACCGGGGGCTGGCTGGCTGACTGACCTGAATGATACAGAATGTGGTTGAGCAAAAAAGGTATCTGGAAAATTCGGAACGCATAGTCTTCCCAACAGTAACCCACCAGGGTTAGCAACAAGAAGAGAATCTGGGGCAATGAAGAGACTTTTTGAGGCTAAACTGAGAAAACAAACAACACTACTGACATAGGGCTGTGAGCGTGCACCTGATGTCCAAGACTACCTGTCCTGGGGCAGCGACTTTGACTGCTGAGAAAGTAGGGACCCACTTTTCAAAGCAGATTATTAAAACACTCAGTAATACTTACAACACTTACAGTAATGAGAAAGCAAAAAAAACAAACAAAACCCCCCAGAAAGTGTTTTTTGTTCCTTTAAAAAAAAAGGCTGTTCTATTTAGAAATAAGCCCAGAGGGGCAAATCCCTCCTCCCAGGAGTCAGCGCGCAGTGTCGGCAGAGTCCAGGCTCGCTTTACCTCTCGGCCCGTCAGGATGTGTCTGGCCAATTTCACCTTCGCGAAGTTCCCTTTGCCGATGGTTTTCAGCAGTCTGTAGTTTCCGATGTGAGGCTGTTCATCTGCGCAGGAAGCAATCGAGTTTCTACAGCGAGCTCCAGAGCGCCCGGCGCGGGAGGTCACCTCTTGCCGCCCATCGCCATGAGACGTGTGCTGCAACACAAAACACAGCAGACCAGAAGTGAGGACACAATACAGCACTTGCCAAGCTTTACAAGCCTGGCCTTGAAGAAACAAAACGTGACTACTTTAACTTTAATCCTACTGCACCCCTCACACATTAATTTCTCCACATCCCATCAATCTGACGAGAATGAGATGCTGAGAAGAAAAATACCAAGTGTTGACATTCAAATGGATGCTCAGACAGGTACTTTCTAGATGTGGATGCTGCAGAAAATAGGGGCGAGCAGCCCCCTGTGGTCATGCAGACCAGCCTGAGCACGCCTCGCGAAGCAGGCTGCACTGCGACTTCCCAGCTGAGGGACTTCCACGATCTGTCATGGCCACACTGCCACTGAGTGAGAAAGGCACAAGAACCTGGGTCCCCAACTGCACGACCAATTACTCAGCACAATGTGCTCAAAGAAAACAGCAGGCGCTGGCCCTTGGTAAACTGAGCAGCCGCTGGCGGGATGGGTCAAGTAGCCTACGGCTGGCGTGGCACGTGCGCCTCTGCCCACAGCAGGACCACAGTCCTGCTCCACGGGGCCACTCTGGACACAGGAAGGTGTGTGCGCAGCTCCCGACGCCCAGAGTGCGGACGCCTGCGCAGTGGCCACCGCCAGCAGGCCCGGCGCACACAGGCTCACTAACCTGGGTCACAACCAGCCTGATGCTGTGAGAAGCCTACGAAGTTGCTATCGCAGCCACGAAGGGAACAGCAGACAGTATTTTGAAGTGAAGCTTATTTGTGCCGGCAGCCTCTGAAGACAGCCTTTTCCAAATTCCCACTCTTGCCTCCACCCACTTTCCTTGACTCCCCGGCACTAAACACTCTCCCTCCCCAGCCAGGTTCCTGGGCCAGGACGCCTTCGGTCTCCCGTAACACTGCTGCGATTTCCTTTTACTGGGTTAAACCGACTTTTATGAACTAGTTACAAACCGAAGCAACAGTGTTTCTGTAACAGAAAGAAGTCTAATCTCCAATTAGAACATTAAGAGAACGTCCATAAATGAGGACGTGATCAAGGTCTGAAACAACAAAGATGAGCAGCAGGGCGCCGGCCATCAACCTTCCACAGGCCAAGGTTACGGAAAGAGGCCCTGGTGGGCAGACAGTGGCTGCCGTTGCATGCTTACGCCAACGACAGCGTCAGGAAAACAGGGCCAGTACCTGTTACTCCTGAGTCACCGAGCAGCAGCTGGTAGGTATCAGGTGTTTAACTGACAGAATGAGTAAATGGACGGTAATAAATTATAGGGTCGGGGTTAAATTATGGAAAATAACTTTTTTACTTCCTCGGTTCATTCAAATGTTGACCTAGGGGCATACAGATTTTCTTAACACACACACTGGGTGTTTTGGAAACACAGCAAGTGCGAGACAAAGCCCTTGTCCCGAGTGTGTGGTGAGTGGCCTTACTGGTTACACAATGAAAATATCATCTTTAGAATGATACCACTGGTCAGATTTTTGGATTAAAAAAAGCGTAATTAAGGTAAATATACACCTTCTAACTTACATGGTTTCTAAGTTAAGCTTTTCTTTGGTCAATCCCAGAGTCAGGCAGTTAAACAGACAACCCGCTGACTCCCATGCAAATCCATCATCTCCCACTGCAAAAGGAGAGCGACCTCTCTCACACACTCACACACACACACACACACACACACACACACACACACACACACACACACACACACACACACACACACTTCATGCCTTTGCTTACTCACCAGTACCTTACAATAAAATGCCAGCTCCTCAGCACTGAACCTCAGTGATAACAAAGATCCTTTCCACTCTGCTCTGTATCAAACAGCCCCAGAACCTGGAGCAAAACCGGCAGAGGAGCTGTGCGAGGAGACAGCAGACCTAAGGCTCTCTCTGTGCTAATTCATTCCTCCCTCCTCACCCATGTCCACTCTCTCTGAGCACCACTCTGGCCCTCTCAGTTTGAGTGTCTTTAATTGTCCAAACATTTGCCTCTGTCTTTCTGAAGCTTTCTTTTTTTGGGGAAAAAAAAAGATTTAGTATGTATACAAGAATTGGGGTACAGGCTAGAGATGCAGGGGGTGAGAGGATTCACCAGAGACAGAACAGGGAACAGAAGGGAGACAGGAGGGTTCTGCTGCACCCTGTGGGTCACTCCCTGGCTGGGGGTCAAACTCACGCTGCACTTTAATCTGTTGTGCCACCAGGGAGGGCCCTCTCTGAAGCTTTCCATGGCTCTTCCTACACCCCACCAGAATTTTCTGAGATAGTGTGCATATGTGTTTCTATTTGTTACTTTGTCTTAAACAATACTATCATCCAACACAAACGCTACTTTGCTTCTGAGTTCCAGGGAGAGGATATTCCTTCACTTCAGAGACACCCAGTCCCCCTCCCTTGAGGTCTGGCACCGTCACTGCCTAATCCAGTAGGTAAGACTCAAGCACAAGCGCCAGGCAGTGCCTATGCTGAGGCTTGGAACAGCGGGGCTTCACCAAGCCACCTACCCACCCTTCTCAACACTGCTAGCATCTGGACACCCAACCAGCCCTCATGGAGCCAGCAAGTCCCCACGCGAGCCAGCAAGTCCCCACGCTGACTTACCAGCAGTTTCTAGCGTGCTAAGCGGGACTCAGGTGCCACTGATTAGTCTCGGCCGTGACCCCAGCCCAGCCTAATGCACTCTCAAACAACAACACAATGCAGACAGAGCTATTTCCCATTAGACTGCGAACTCATGCATCCGTCTGAAACGCCTGGTATATGTCAAATTCCAAGAGGCCAACAGCATAATGTTTTCGTATATAAAGTGCTGAAATTTTAAAATACAGTGAGTTTAACGCAAAAATAACGCTCTCAAAGCAAGGAAATTAAACTGCCTTTGCTTCCACTCATCCCCTTATTTTCCCACGCATCCATCAGCTACTCAGAACTCTGACGTCCTGTACTGCCAGACAGGCAAGGCTGCGGCGCTGCTCCAAGGAGGGCTTGCCACCAGCGCCCGCTGCACCTGCCCTCTCTGCTAGTTTTCAAATAAACCCATCTGTTGCTGGAATAGCTGGCTATTTTTGCTTGACACCAACCATGGGAAAAGTTTCCATGACAGTGCCAGGAAATACTAGGACATGGAGCAAGCCCTGCAGTTTCATTTTCTCCGTCTTTTCCTCCCTTGTCACTACCAAGAGAAACTGGATGTGTGTTGGGAGGCATGTCTTACTTTCAGGCCAGTGTTCTTTAGTCCAGCTGGGGGGGGGGTCTCACAAAGGGAGACAAACTACCATCCTACATCACTGCAACCCCACTAGCTGGAGGTGTGTTATGCTGTCCTGTAGCCAGAAGCTCTCAAACAATATAAAAAAAAATTGTTTTGGAGCCTCCATCTCCAATATACTGAGCTAGTGGACCTGAAGCTGCAGCTGCCGGACTTCTCTGTGAGGAAACGACTCCTACCTGCTTGAGCCACGTGCATGGCTCGGTCTTCCGGTCAAGGCTCTGCCGCAGGGGCCACAGCAACACCAGTGCAGGAGGCTGCCACCTCATCATCTATCACACCTATTAGTCCTTCTTTGTGTTTAAAAAAAAAAAAAAAAATCAAAGAATAGGGGGCCTCCCTGGTGGCACAGCTCCAGTGTGAGTCGATCACCGGCCAAGGAGTGACCCACATGGCGCGGCAGACCTCTCCTGACCTGACCAGCCCGCTGCTCCCCTCAGCAGTGTTCTTTGTCGATCTGCCTATTCTGCTCCCCACTCTGTCTCTGGTGAAGCCTCTCGCCACCTCTGCACCTCAGACCTGTACCACAGTTCTGTATGCCTAAGTAAATAAAAAATATAAAAATCACAGAATATAAATCATTGCATAATCAGATGTGACAAGTATTCATACTATAGGATACCAGAAATTTTTTTTAAAGGCTTATTTATGCATATAGAACTGGGGTACAGGCCAGAGTTACAGGGTCGGTGAGAGGCTTCACACAGAGAGAGTGGGAAGCAGAATAGACTAACAAAATACACTGCTGAGGGGAGCAGCGGGTGGGTCAGAAGAGGTCTGCCGCGCCCTGTGGTCACCTCTGGAGCGGGGATCGAACTCATGCTGAAGTGGCTTTAGCCCGCTACACCACCAGAAAGGGCCCAGAAATTTTCATCTTACTAAAGTTCCAGGTTTACCCTTCTCTATATTCAGTAAAACAACAACTTGAAATTTAAGAAGTCTACGTAAGAAGTCAGGTTTTAAAGTTTAACACAGCAACCTGACTCTTCCCGAACAGTTCCTCTGTAAAACACAAGAGGTGGTCACACATCCTTTCTAACCCTTAAAATAACAAACCACCTCCCTCTAACAAGGGGGTAGGTTTTTCAAAGACAGAGTCAAAGCGTGATAATAAAAGAGCTATCCTGTAACCCACAGAGTCACAAAGTTAAATTTCATTTTGAAAACAGGTGGACAATTATTTCATTCACTGCAGAAAAAAAAATATCTGGTTAAGACTGAACACCCTCTGGTTTAAAAAAAGTCTTAGCAAACTAGGAACTGAACTTAATTTCTTAAAGTCAAAGACTAAAAAACCTTTAACAAAACTGTCAGCACTTGATGGCAAGACGATTTACCGGCAAAATCAGAACTGCCTCTGGAATGCAGGAGAGCTTGTTAAGGCCTATACCAGCAATAACTTATTACAATATATAATTTGAAAAATAACCATTTATAGCAACAAAACCTGTGAAGTAGGAAGCAGTTAATCAAGAATGTATAAGGACCTCCTTGGGGACACGGGGGTTACGCTGCAGCACTATGAAGCTATCAGCAGCCACTGCAGAACCTGTTTGGTCCCCAGCCAGGGAGGGACCCACAGGGCACAGCAGACCCCCCCTCCCCCCACTGTCTCCCCGCTGCTCCCTCAGCAGTGGGTTTCAGTGGGTCGGCCTGCTCTGCTCAATGATGGGTCTATGGTGAGTTCTCTCACCTCCCACATTTCTGGCCCACACTCTT